CTTTTGCACTTTGGATTGGAATATATTCTTCCTTTGGCGTAGGTAGGCCTACGTTACTAGTAAATTTCCTCAAACGGCCTTAACAGACTAAATAGTTGAATACACATGTGTGTCAGCAATTGAATATGCAATTACAAAATATATTGCTATTAAATTGACACATAAGTTCTACAAAATGTAAGTAGTGATAAACAAATTTGTGTACAAATATACGCGTGAGTTTTGACGCCAATCAGTTTTTCATTCATTTGTACATCAAGGGGATATTATATTGTTCATTTTTCTAATCGACATATGATGAGGCAAGTTTGTTATTTCGAAAACACATTTTCATTGCCTAGAAATCAGTCCAATGTTAGCATTGACTGTACACAAGCGCCCGTATTTGATCTGATGCAATAATGATACTGTATCTGATTTGCATCCTCCCAACGGAAGGCTCACGGAGCGATTATAATTTCAAACTCATCTACTCATTTTAGCGAATTCCCCATATAGGGAATAAGCTATTAACGTAGGTCTCATGGTAAGACCTGGACCCGGGACCCGGGATCGATTTCCTTTTTTCGTTTTGAGGTCCCAAAAGGCCAAAAACACCATCCGTTCAAATTCATATATAAATATACTCATGTATAAACACATCTTACATGTGCATATTTTAATTATTTTTTAATTTATTTTAATATTTTAACTCTAATTAAGTCACTTTTACGGAATGTATGTAACACTTTTCAAACATGTAACAACATTTTTTTGTACAGTTACTTTATATTTCATCACATATTTGTTAAATACAGTAGAGTCTTTGAATGATTGACTTAGTAAACAAATAAAATAAAACTCTACATTTTCGAAAATATTTAAATTACTCTATTACAGTATTTAATCTTAAATACATAACATAATACAATAACCTATATGATATTGAGGTCACTATTTTGTATAGATTTTCACACTCCATATGAAGCGGAAAGGTCTATAAAGAAAACATACGATTTAACTCATAATAGTACTAGAATGGTAATTGATTACCTTAGTAATCATTTCATTCACAACCAAACCATTGTTCGTATCAACAATGGAGACTTGGATAGGTCTGACTGTCATTAATTCACTCATCTGGGGATATTCAATTACTACTGAGGTTTGTTTTGCAGGCATTCAATCCTACAAATCCGCCATTCAGATTTCCCAATGTAGGATAATTGACTTTGGATATTACCTGTAGTCTCATCGTCTTATTGTAAACTATATGCCTGATTTTAGAGAATTTCCAATATAGGGAATACGCTATTACCGTAGGTCTCATAAGACCTGGACCAAGGACTGATTTACTTTTCGTTTTAAGGTCCCCACAGGCTAAAAATATTATCCGTTCAAATTCATATATAAATATATTTACAGGATATGTGTCTGTTAGCACGATATCTCGAGCAAAAATGATCTGATTTTGAAGAAATTCTGTATAAACGTTTAAACCTACATTTATTCGAACGAGTTGGCGAACCAGCACGATCGGACTATGGGAACGGGGGTTTTGTGAGGTAAAAATATATACAATTTGGTTTTCCCATTTTCACCCTAGAAATATAAAATTTTGTATTTTTTTAACCATTTTGTCGAGCTAAAAAACAAATAATTTAATTTAGTATAGTGAAGAGTTGTTGTATACCCAAAGGTTACAGAAACATCCAAAAGAGTGTAAATTAAAATACTATGTTATTCTTAAGGAGAAGACATAAACTGGACATATTTTAATGGGACTTGGAATTTTTTTACTTCATACTAAGCTAACAATATTTTAACTATAAAAACACCTCATTATCTTCCCTGTAGCAGCAAACCTAAGTCCTCATTATAATTAACGATATTTAAATACGAAATAAATCTGACAATAAAGGAATAATTATGGTAATTCCAGCCAGGTAAATGAAAATTCGCTTAGTCTGCAGGTTTACTTCGGTGGGGTTCGAACTAGTTTAATGGTAGATTGTGGGACTTCAGTCACTGAGATCCTGAGTTCAAGTCTCACCAATCACCAATGTATTTTATCTAAGTGATAATGCGACTCAGCCTAGGTCTAAGAGGGGCTGAAGCTAAAGTAATGTGGAAAAAATCCCAAGTTAGAACTTACAGGATAAAAAAAACTCATTATTTAACAGTTTTAAATAGTTTCTAAAATAAGAATACTTTAAAGAAACACCTTGACATATTTCGTAGTTTCAAAGACGTGGAAGGTAATATTAAGTTAGCAAACTACAGAAGAAGCGAGCTGTCGACAAAAACTTGAAGTTTTCTTTCAAACTTTGAACGAATCCAAGAACTATATTTATGTTGGGTTCTAAACTTTTATATTTAAGTGCAACTCCTTAAACATTGCAATTCTAGACAGCGTACTCTGCCCAAAGACTTAAGAAATTATGGAACTCCAGGACATTTAGAGATTATTAGTTATATCTACCACTACGATCACCACACAACGAAAATATATTGAAGATGCTATTATTTTAGTAACGAAAATTGAAAGAAAACCATTCTTTGAACGTGTGTCCTACAACCTGTATATCTGGAATTTTGTTTAAATATTTTTTTTAATCTAAAGCGATGATCAATCGATTTAGACTGTACCTAACAATTATTAACGAATTGACCGAAAAAAGTAATTACAGTAAATTATCCGTAGACAAATTAAATTTAACTTATCATGTCAAATAAATTAATGGTAATGAAAAAAACGGAAACAAAATATTGATACAACATTTTATAAAGGCATTCTGTATAATCAAAAATAGTGTTGTTGAAACAAAATAAAGATATCTTGATGACATTTGGTACACAAATTTAAGTAGTACTTAAGTTTTGGAAATATTTGAACATAAAAAACTAATATCAAAACCTAATGGCGGTCATTTTAATTGTAATAAATCAAGTTACTTAAGAAAATACTTATTATAAGCCAGGAAAACTTTTTTCTGTTGCATTAATATTTCATAACAACAAAATAAAAATTAAAAAGATTAAAGAATTAACATAAAAATAGCGTATTTAAGTCGCACATTCAGAGAATTGTGATTATTTAGCAATATATTATTCGATCTTTTCAAACTTGATGTACGATAATAATAATTTAGAGCGACAGGAGGACAAATTACTTTTAAACCGTCTAAGTCAATCAAAACAACATATTGGTTCATTGAAAGCTTGACTTGTGATCAACAAAATGAAGATTGATTTTGTTTCTCGAGTTTATTAAATTATTACTCTGCAATCTCAATATAACTTTTATCATATCAGAAGTTTGCTACCACCTAATATTGTCAAAGTACAAACACAACTTGTTAGATAAAAATAGTATCGAGGTATACAGTTTTGCACAACATAAATAAAGTAAAAAATGATTTTACTAATAAAACTAGTATGCATTTAAATATACAAGGTTTTATTATTTTGACCATAAAACGTTGCTAAAAATAGTAAACAATTAAATGTATTAGGCATATGTAGTAGCAAAGTTTCTATTTTCATTATTTTTTTAGTATTCATTGTTGTATCCAATACCAGAATAAAAACTAACAATAAATTATGGACATTGTGTATGAGTAATATTAAACTTACTAATATTTTAACCGATTAACAAAGCTCTATCATAAAAAAATTACAAAATTTCGCTTTCCCTTACAAAAAAACATTTAAACAAACCTAAATCAAATATTAACTTACTATAAAAGTTGTATAGCAGAAAGATTTGATTTTTTTAATATTTTCTTCTTTACATGGTTAAAATAAAGTTATCTCTAATAAAAAAAGAAATTTTAATCACCATATTTAAAAATTCAAGTCATAATGCACTAAACTAAAATGATTATATCTTAAGCTGTTTACTTCTAAAATGCAGTAATTCATAAGATTATACTTAAGTTAAAAGGGCTCTAAAAGGAAGTAAAGAAGGAAATGGTTGTCCCTTCTCGGCGCTATCTGGTGTACTTTATGGTCAAAAACATTCTGTAAGAATGGCTATTTTCAGTCAGATCTTTGAAATCACCAAAGTCTGTTCTATTTCTTACACAATATTATCCATCCATATGATACGAAAGGAATTTTAACATAATGAATTTCAAAATAGTTTATTTATAAAATTTATTGAAATTGATTTTGCATACTATAGCTACGTACCATCATAAAAGACCTCAGTAACAAGGGTTTTCTGCAATGAGAATTTAGTTGAACTCTTTTATAGAAAACTTTGGCTACTGAAGTTTTAGTTCAGCGTGAGTTTGAGTACACTGCTACTTCTAATGGTATATCTTTCACTAAATGAATGCCAATAAAACGTCGTATATGCTGTAGTTCGACTAGTTAGGTATTTATTCTGATTTAATTACCAAGTTGGTGTTCAAAATAAGAATGGTGTAGCCACTTAATCTGTCGGATGACTCTAAAAGTTTTTCTCTTATTTTAGAGTAAATTTTGTGTACTTTACCCTTAACTTTTAATACTAGAGGAAATAATTGTATACATCCTTTATAATTGTATAGATCGTTTTATATTGTTAACATTTTAAAACTTGTAAAATAACCAGAAATAAATGTGGAATATTGAAAACGCAATCTACAAATATTGGACAGACACTTCCCTAAAAATCAGCTGATAAAAGACATAAAAAAAATTAATTGTTAATGTTTTACTTAAGCTGTTTACTTCTAAAATGCGGTAATTCACAAGATTATACTTGAGTTAAAAGTGTTCTAAAAGGAAGTAAAGAAGGAAATGGTTGTCCGATCTTGGCGCTAAATGTGGAATTTAGGCTCAAAAATTTCGCGGTTTGAAGGGAAGTTCCCCCACTACTTTTTTGCTTAATATATGGCACAGCTGATTTATGTTTTGACAAACCTCAGCTGTTTACTATTACTTTAAAGGTAGTTTCAAGCGGAGGGAATATATTTTTTCCTCTAAAAACGCCTAAATTTTGTGAACTGAGTATAATACTTATGTTTTTACAGGAAGCTACAAGACTAGCTCTCGTATCCGGCGACCAGTCAACCTACGCTAAGAGCATCCGCATCATGGGAGATATTTATAGAAAAAAGTCTGAAATTAGCGTAAGTTTCATGTAAAAATATGTTAAGTAGTATAACAATATTTTGTTTATATTACTTTGTGCTTGATATATGGTGGTTGAGAACTACCGGAAGACAAAAATATTGTTTGGTTAAAAAATTTTTTTGAAAATTTTATAGCATTTAGCTGACCACATAGAACCATGGTAAAATCATAGCTAGTTAATTCTGCATGTTTATGTCATTTAAGGAAAAAACGTCAAAAGGGGTAAAGAAACCAATTGATATGCGTAAGTAATTTATAAAATGTGTCCTTACCCAAGAAGACAAAATACATGATTTTGATATATGGATATTGTAACCAACGTTCAATAACCAAAGGCTATATATCCAATATGAATATTTTCTCTGTTGCTTGTGGTCACTTATTTAGGAATGCATTAGCCATTGTACACCATACATTTGGGCTTAGACAGCTAGGATGCTAATGGAAAGTGGTTCATTCGAACCTCTTTAATATACCAACTAGCTTTTAACTTATTTATCTGTATAAGTAAGAGTGGATTGGTCTTGCCAACTCAGATAGTAGATTCCATCTGATGAAGGGGTTAACGCAGACTAAATCTATGGGCACTGACACTACCAGTGTCAGATATGAATTTAGTTTCGTCACTCCTACACAATATTTTAAAATCCGTACACCTACCCCAAAGATCGTTCATGGACATGACAGTAGCACTTGGGTCGTCCACGCTCGCAACGTCTCGCAATTCAGTCATCCGTCATAGTCATGCCGCCCTTAGACACTTGCTTTTCATGTATCGTGCGAAACAAATCTTTCTCTTGGCTTAGGTAAAACAACTTTTACACACATTGTTGTATTCGTCTACCGATCTAATCCTTGTCAAAGGGCCAAAACTACAAACCCCCTAACTCCCTTAACTCCTTTTAACTCCCTTAAACTTGAAGTGCCCTAACTCCCTGATTGTTTTCCAGAACGCCTACCGCCAGTACGAGAGTGCGATGAGCTCGGCGTGTGCGATGGGTGACCGCCTCTGCCAGATGGAAGCGATGGATGGAGCTGCAAGATGTCTGGAGGCACTGAGACTGCAGCAGAAAATCTGCAACTGTCGACCACTCGAGTTCAACATAAGACTGCTGGAGGTTGCAATAGCTATAGGTGCTAAGGTATGAAACACCATAGTTATGCCTACTACCATGCCTACTCCCATGCCTACTACCATAGTTATTCCAGTAGCATAGTTACTGTCAAGGTATGGACAGGGCCACCATAGTTAGCACCTTACATAAACTTTTCTTGCTACTATAACCTACCTTTCAAGAAACAAAAGAAATACACCCTGATCAGAAGGGAACCGCCATTATCCACCCACATGACCATAACAACGCCATATATTTTTTAATTACTTTGCACCGTGAGATGAGAGAAGAGATACATGTGTTTTTTTTTTTGTAGCTCCTGATACGGACGGTGCGAGTGAGGTTGTGTAGGATCTACCAGAGTCTAGGGGACGAGGAACACCAGGACGAACATGCGAGAGCGGTCCAAAGCCTGGAGGAGGAGCTGGAACTGCAGTGTGGAGCGTGCAGCCTGCCTCTGGGCTTCGAAGCAGACAGTCTGGAGGCTCTGCCGTGTGCTCACATACTGCACGCCAGGTATACCAAGCATTAATTGCAAGCAAGCATTAAACTAGATTAAAAACCGGTAAAAATAAATGTATACTAATCGTTATAAATATCCTCAATCATGCCTCAAATAACTTGCCAGCAATAAAACTTAACTACGAATATTGCTAAAGTGGTATCTAGAAGATGTTGACCTAATAAAATATATGAAACCAGACAGCCAGTAGATGTTTCTTACTGGTTGGGTTCTAGTTTTCCGCTCTATAGCAACTTACTACTACAAGTCTTACCTAAAAATACTTTGGAGGATCGAACCTTGAATAAGTACAGGTAGACCTTAGGAACATACAGAAGAGAGACTGAACCCACAATATTAAGTCCCCTGGGGGACTTTGTCAAGTAATCATTTTGTAATCTCTCCTCACTAGCTCTTCACTTCACAATATCCCCCAGGGGACTAAATATTGTGTGTTCAGTGTTTCTTCTGTGTGTTTTAAGACCAACCTATAATTCTACAAGTTAAGCTAGCTGCTATCCTCCTAATTCTACAATTCAAAATCCTGATCTAGATTCTTTTCTTGAACAAAACTAAAATAGTAGACGCAGAAGGTTCCTAACCACATTACCTAACCAGCAATTGTTTTTCCAGATGCGCACACGAAATCCTCCGCCGGAGGGATAAGAAGAAGAAGCGCGTGTGTCCAGACTGCGAGAGAACCGTGAGTTCCCGCCTTTACCTCCACTGTGAGGACCCGCACCACTCCACCTTCAGTCTGGGCAGTCTGTCACTACAGGCGTCCTCGGCCGTCTAACATTCGGCCCCGCCAAGCCGCAGGACCAAATACCTCACTAGCCCTGCCAGCTTCAACCTCTCTTTCGAGCAGCCATCTCAGACCTCGTACTTTACCTCTCGTTAAGTACAGGTGACACTATTGGGTGGAGAAACACGTTTGAAATCAGCTGTTACACGAGGTTTTGGAATCGCTCTGCCTAGAATAACAAGTAAGGGACATATTTTTAAGACATCATCGAAGCGTTAATTGAATGCATTGTTTTCATTGTCGTTTGCTATAGACTCTTCTACAAGTGTTGGTGGGTGGCAACGTTGCACCTATTGTCATCGTATTACCTTGAAAACGTGCAAACATAAACATTGCACAGGACCTTCATTATGAATTAGTACAACAGCTGTTTCGGTGAGCCTGGGATGCGGTGTTGCCATTTTTGTCTCACCACAGCGTTGTATTAGCTGTGCAGTTGCAAATGTTTCCAGGCTAGGCAGTTTTTAACACGATTACTTGAGAAAGAGTATTCTGTACAATTCAATTTTGTGTATTTACTCCATTGGCATACGTATTTTTTTAAGGTAATGGTCTCAACCATGATGCTTTTTCCATAAAGGCAATTTTTTGTATAATCTAAAATTGTAGACTGGACCCAATTCACAACATTCCAACATTCACATTTGAAAGCGAGTGCTACAAAAACTTTGCTAACATGAACAATATATTTTTCGGTGATAGCCACATATTGTTATTCTGGGTAGGAGTGTTATCCATGGAAATAAAATGGCTTAACACTACTGTCGTTAGAGTTGTGTCAGTGATTAACATACGAAAACTGTCTGAAGGGGAAAAATAATTTGATAATGTGCAACAATAGTGTATTGTGCAACAAAAACAAAAATGAACTTGAAGAATTAAAAAAAACATTTTAATTTCGTTTCAGTGTTTGTTTGACTAGAGGAACTACACTTACTTTGTGCACTTCATAAATTGAAATTGAAACCACTGTATTTTATAGTTAAAAATACAAATGTTTTACAAACAGACTGTTTTACAAATGTATTTTTTATGAAATCAGACGAAACTTCACCGAGAGTAATAACAATAACTATGAAAACGACGTAGTAAAAATTAAGCACCTCTTTAGGAAGTGAAACGGTTATTATTTTTCTTTCAAAGTACGGGTTCACTTTCTGTCAGCGTTATCTTATCACACCTGAGTCTAAAGAGAATTCAACTGAATTCAACTCGTTAAACTATATTGTGTATGCAATAAGAGAAATATGAAACTAAACTCAAATTAGGAAATTACAAATTTAAGTCGAGTTGAACAAAAACTACAGTAAAGAGTTGAGTTTGAAGTCGGTGGTGAAACTTATTTGCATGTTTCTTACTGTAAAAAAGGTTCTGCTTCTATTCCAGGAAAACTGTGATGTACTAAAGTAAATAGAGTTTTGTTTTACTTTTACTAACGTTTCTCATATTATAAACGTTGGTCTACGAAGTCTATTCTTTAAAAATATATTAAAACGGACAATTTGGAGGTAGTATTTATTTTTCAAATCTATTTTTGTAAAAAATGCAAACTACCTAACTACTGTATCTGCCGTTTATTTGCATCGAATCATTTACCCTTTAGTTTTTAATCCAGTACCACAGATGTTTTCTAGAGGCAGGCCCACCCTAAACTCATTTCAGTATTATTAAAAAAGTGCCAAGTGTTAGTTGAATTCATGAGTTTTATTATTTTGATACATTAACTCGTTGCCAAATGATTTAAGTTTGCAAAGTGGTAGTTTTTTTTGTGATCAAGGCCGAATTTTAGAGTGTTGTCAGGATTTAGTACTCATGCTCACTATATTGCCGTTGCCTATGGATACCGAAGTAGATATTCCGTATTACCCACTGTAACTGACTTGCCGACCACAATGAACTTATAAGAGCCTACAATTTAATGAGATACTACTTGAGCTTTAAATTCTCTTTTTTTGTTTGTTTCAATATACTTGATGGTTTTATCGTATAGCGAAAGATTTTACAACCTAGAGTTGCTCTTCTAGTTTTTCATGGCTAAAAGCCGGGTTATAAGATAAATACAATCACAATTACAGTGTAGCTTAATTGAACTTATTCTTGCTATTTTTCTTTAAAACTGGTGTCAACAGATGGGAATAGAATATCTACTTCACAATAATTAATGTACTACCTACATTTTAAAGTAACAATACAATGGTGAATTCAAAATTTGCAAAAACCATAAACAAAGGAAACTGTAATAACTAAGCAGTTATGTTGGTTCATGAAGTGTTTGACGTTTTGTACTAATCAAACCAAAACAATCCAATTACTGATAATCTACAATTTAATGTGTAAAGATAGAAACTTGTAAATATGTTAGGAAGGCTAACACTGCCACTAGATGGTGCTTGATATAGAACTGCTCAATCTGGGTATAATTATACTTGTACTTCACGTACGTTGCTATACATATCTGCTATACACCAACTGCCCTTGGTTGGCTTTCTACGTAATATTGTACGTCATAACAATCAAATAACATGTTTAAAAAACATCGACTATTGATACTGGAAAGGTGTATGTTTATTGGATTCAATTTGGTGGTAAAAGACGATGAGCAAAAAGGTTTAGGTTAAAATCTTTTATCTGCACCCTGATTTAGAAATCATGTTTGGTAAGGTTAGGTTAGGAAGGGTATTTGTGTTTCGTGATTAAAAAAAATATAATATATCTATGAAAACTAATTTATTATGGAACAGATAACGGTTGTTGACCAAAGGGTGTTTAAAAATTTGAACCACAAAGATTTTTCGAATACTTTAGCAACTACGTGCTATGTTTTTTCTGCACGTCATATATTTTTAAATTGGGACTCCAGTACTTATAGTCGATGAGAAAGTAAAAATAAAAAAGTGTAATATCCAAAATAGTCTCTTTAAACAGCTTAGCTTAACGATTTAAACTGTCAATTTTACAATCAGTGTTTAAACGTAATGTGTATAGTAAAGTAAATGTGTTTAAGAAAATAACTTTTATGTGACTGTACATAGTAAATTGATGTGTTAAATGTGAAATTTAAATATGTTAGTGTAAAGTTAAGCTACTATTAAAAAATCAACTTTGTTTGAAAGTTAAATTTAAAATAAATTGTACCTTTTAGTCGTGAAAGGAAAATATGTTAAAAATGCAATTGTATAAGTTTTAAACTGTTTACTGAACTTAATCATATATTGAGGGTGTTATATTGTATATTTTGTAAATTTCTTGATTAAAAGATTGTGTCTTGGAATTGTTAAAGATAATTATGTTAAACGTAAGATTGTTTATCTAGTTAAATGTGAGCTGGTAATGGTAATTATTTTATATTTTGTTATTTTAAAACCAGAGTCATAGTTGTTTCATAATTAAAAAGTTATTTAAAAACGAATATTTGAACTAGAAATTAAAAAATGTGATTTCTTACCAACAAAACAAATTTTACAATTGTATTTGCCTTGTAACTTATTATTGCTTGTATTTTTCTAAAACCTATACGAGTTTAAAATTACACAGTGTATATTTCTTTTTAGAAAGGGCAATTAAGATGGAATTAGTACGTAATCAAACTCCACGATAATTGATAATATTTACTAACACATTTTCAAACTTGTTGTTAACGATTGATAGTACTTGTTCTGGTATTTTACTGAGGTTTTTGTTTGAATTAGTCTCTCATTCTTTGCACAATTGTTACCTGTTATTTGACTGTCATAGTCTTTTGCACGTCCTGTTATACGCTTTAAACTGGGAACTTTATAAACTGACTAATATTTTGACTGGGTAGTTAAGAACTAACAAATAACTACTAAATATGTCAGAGAATTGATTTTGCTGCGTAAATGCTTAGCAATAAAACCACAAAAACACTTTTTCCTACGGTCACCCGACAAAGTTGGCTTCCTTGTACTGTTTATAGTACAGAAAGCTGCTAATTGCTGCATATTTATACTTTGCCGTACGGTTTATACTTTGTCGTACGGTTTATACTTTGCCGCACACCAGGATTCCAACGAAACAACACAAATCAGCGTGGTTCTATTATTCACGTAATCCGTGTACGCTTGGAAATAGGTTGGCAACACTTAAAGATAATAATACTATGAGCAGCTGATTGACTATTATAACTACGATTTAACCTGTCATTTCGTGTTTATAGTTTCGGTATTTCTGAACTTTCTGGACTTTTCTTTTAAACGTTTTTAAAACATTCCTACGATCTTAATAAACAAGAAAATACCTTTAAAGCATTTTTTTTAGGCGCGGAAACCACTTCAAATTACAAAAACATACGGAACTATATTCTCAAAACGCGGAGCACATTTCTTGCCCAGGATAAATAGCGGAGTGATACGGACCACGGGTACTACTTTCTCTAGGGCACCATTTGTGTTGCCAGCTGAACCTAAAAACGTGTTGTATAGTGTTTGAAAGACTAATTATTTATTTGCTTAATAGTGACTGTAGGAAAAATATAATGTGTAACACGAGTGAAAAAGGCCTTTGCTGCACTCGAGATCATTCCGCACTCGCCTGCGGCTCGTGCGTAAACATTGCTCTCGTGTGCAGCAAAGTGCCACTTTCACCACTAGTTACACAAATAACTATTGCATCCCAACTTGCAAACAAAAAAGCAACGAGGTGGTTTAAAGTTTAAATTAATTATTTCACTAGAGACATTTTTTCTTAGGTGATAGACATAAAAACATCGGAAATACTTAAAGTGCGAAAGATAGGTCAACTACTTTTGACATGGCCAAACAGAGAAAACTACTAAATATAATGCTAGATGATAATTCCATAGACAAAAATAATAGAATATTTGATTCTTTGGCTATGATAATAATGTGCCACGTATAGCAATTATAATCAATGGCTAAATGCATTCAAACGGAAGGTGAACTATGGTTGGAATGAGTACAAATTGTGGTTTCAACAAATTAAACTACCCATGCGGAACAATACACTGGTTCCAGTTTATTAGAATTATGTGCGTTCTACCATATAATGGCGTGGCTTTGACACATGCAGTAATATACCCTGTGTAAATACTAATAACATTGAAAGCATAAATTATAATAAAACTAGACGAATTTGGATTACTGTAGAGGATACAGCATTGCAAACATTCTGAGTAAACTGCTGGTTAATTGTTGTATAGGCCTGCAAAGTTAGGGGAAATAAATTGGTTTTCTGTTGGTTCGTTGTCTTCTTTTAACAACCGTGTGAAAATTTCAATCGAATATTTTAATTTTTATTAAAAACTCGTCACTTGGATATCACAAATCTATAAAATGGAAGCATATCCATGAAAAAACGTAACTTAAATAAAAATATCGAACAT